TTTCAACTTTGTACAATACCAAAAAACAAATCAAAAATAGATATAAAAGATAAGATAAAAATAGGAAACGAAAGTAGTGAAAATCCCTCTTCCCTTGCTCTGTTGGTTGATGAATTTTCATATCTTATATTTGATAGAATTGGATTAGATGAAGAAATGATAAAAGAATAAAATCCGTTTCCCCCTGAGTATTGTTTTACTCAATCTGTTTTTAAAAAACATCAAAATTATGCCAAATCTTTAGTTGTAGTAAATGATCATTCAAAAAGATCTTTGGAATGGTGCAGCAATTTATTTACCAATACAACAATAAGGAAGATAAACAGAATACATTGCTTACTGTTGAAAAGGTTCGGTGTGCTTTCAGAACACCTGGAATAGGTACTTTATTGTTCTGTAAGATAATGATTTTTTGAATTATTTACACAGCCTGTGTCAGATATCATACAAAAAAAAAGTGAAACAAAAATTTAATTCCAGCCAGAAGCAAATTGATCTAAAAGACACAAATTCCGGCCGGAATTTCGGTACATCACTAATAAAAATACTTTTTAAAAAAAAATTGATTCCATGTATTTTTACTCAAACATATTGGTAAAAAATAAAAAACCTGAAATAAAAAAATTTCAAATTTTTGTAATTAAACTTCCTCCCTGGACCTGTGAAATCAGCAATTTTTGAAGGTTTTCTCAAAAACTTTTTTTTAAGTTAGGGGGTAAGGATTGAGTGGTCCTATTGAGCTCAAATTTTTCAGGAGTTGTTTTTCTAATATTTGTCCCAAATCTAGAGTGTATGGTATTTTAGAAATTTCCTCAAATTGACTACCCTACTCTTCATATATAACATTTTGTAGAAATGGTAACTAGAAAGTTACCAAACACACTGAAAACAATCCCATACATGCAACAACTGTAAAAAAACTGTAAAGAGCGAAAATATACTATATATCTCATATTGGAACTATTGTTCATTGTCAGACTTAAGCTAAGAAGAGCTTTAACTAAAGGTAATATGAACCTAAGTGACGACAAACAAGGTATTTTAGTTAAAAAAAACACAGAATAATCCGCAACAATTTCTTTTTTAACCGATCTCGCTTATTCGGCTATAGCTGGCATTGAACCTTGAATTTCTTGGCTCTGAGCCAGAACTGTAACAAATGCGCCGCAGCTGCGAGAATAACAAAAGCAATAATTTAATTCATAATAAGTTTTTAATATTATGGTTTATTGATTGCATGTCACTAGAATCAAGTAGAATTATACTTTTTAAAAAATAAATCAAATACTTCATGCTTTTTATCCTTTAGAATTAAGGGAAATGTCTTTTTTATTATGTTATTGTTGTTATTATTATAGTACTTTAAATGAACATTTTTTATGATAACTTGACATTACTGCATTTCAATATTGCAGAATGTGAATAAGCAATTGTAGAACGATTCACTTTTTTTTAATCTAAGTTTTGGTGAACTTTCGGTTATTCTTTTAGTGAAATGAATCAGCCGCTACATTTTTAATGAACAAACAGAGAAAATAATCAAGAAATTTGTATAAGACTTGTAATTATTTTTATTTAAATTTTTTTAAGTTTTTGTTACTGAAAAGCACTTATTCAGCGTAACTTTAAAGACTTGTCAATAAATCAAAAATATGTTTAAAATATATTTTTGTTATGGCTAGTCATTTGTTATTGGCTGGATTCCTTTTTTTTGGGATTGGCTGAATTGAATGAATTATTTGTACATTTTTTTGGGTAAATAAAAATCGAATAATTGCGAAATCGGAAGAATTTATTTCATTCAATTTTTAAATAATAATGAGTTTTTTATGACAAACCATATACATTTATAATTTTGCTAAGTTAAAATATGATATATTTTATAAAGCTCTTTGTTAGGACAAAAATAAAATTGGCATAAAGGTTCAATATTATCAAAAAAATTTCTTTTTCGTTTTAGTAATTTCACTCTTTGTACTTTGATTCCCTACTTAATCATGGATAATCTTTTCATTTGTAATTTTATTCAAACATTCTCTAGCTAAATTTACGCCTCCTTGTTTTTGTTATTCTCTGGAGTATTTTCTTTTAAAGTTCATTTAAAAAACTTCAATCGCGTTAAATTTCTTTTATTACGCTGTTTATACTAACTTATCTATACTTAGTAATGTTTAAGTTATGTATATATATGTATATATATATATATATATATATATATATATATATATATATATATATATATATATATATATATATATATATATATATGTATATATATATATATATATATATGTATATATACATACAAAAACTACATTACAGAATTATATCATGACCTAATTTGTTATATATTATATTGAGAATGTCAAAAGTTAAGATGATGCACGTTTATTTCCAGTTTAAACGAAAACATGCTTTCCATGTCTTGTATATAATAATATACTAATCTTTTTCATTTATTCTATAATAACGGGCCTTGATTCATTATTGAAAACTCTGAACTTTTAGAATTGAATATAGTTGTTACACTTAAGTTGTCTTAATTTCAATCTAATTTTTTTTACAGTCCTCAGTTTTAATTTTGTTTTCCTCGGTCCCATTTCAACCTTGTTTTTTCCAAAAACTTTATTTGTTTATTATTTTGTTAGAACTTTATTACTATTATTATTATTATTATTAATTTTTTTAATCAAGTTTATTTATATTTTTAATAAACAATAAACAAACTTCTTTAGACTAAAATTAATAGCAAAATTTAAAAAAAAATAAGCTGCATAAATTATTGCAGTTATAATTATTATATATAAGTTATTTAATAACATAATTGTTTGTTAATATATTTTTTCATAATATATTGTTATTAATATATAAATAACTTTACCTTCTGTTCTATGTATATATATATATATATATATATATATATATATATATATATATATATATATATATATATATATATACATATATATATATATATATATATATATATATATATATATATATATATATATATATATATATATATATATATATATATATATATATATATATATATGTATATGAATATATGTATATATATATATACATATATATATATATATATATATATATATATATATACATATATATATATATATATATATATATATATATATATATATATATATATATATATAAATATGTATATATACATATATATATATATATATATATATATATATATATATATATATATATATATATATATATATATATATATATATATATATATATATATATATATATATATATATATATATATATGAATATATGTATATATATATATATATATGTATATATATATATATATATATATATATATATATATATACATATACATATACTCATATTCATATATGTATATATGTATATATATATATATATATATATATATTATATATATATATATATATATATATATATATATATATATATATATACATACATATATTCATGCATAATTATTTAGTTGATTAATAATTATATTTATCAATATGTTAAATATATATAAAAATGTTATCTAGTTGGTTTAAGGAACTGAAAAGTCTGTTGACTTGATGATTTTGTTAAGTGTAAGAAAAACACGTGATGTGCGTGCTTATAAATTATACATTAATCAAATATACTTTGTTTATTTAACATTTGGCCCTGGTTAATTCATAATCTTATGTTTAGCTAATTGAATAAAAGTTTATTTGTAATACCACACATTAACACAACTCAATCACTGTATTTTTGTGACACGAGTAACATAATGATGTATCGTGATATATTTATAGTTGCAAATGTTTATCTATAAGTAATGTTTATCTATAAAAAAGGTTTTAAGAGCTAATTTGAAAATAAGAGTTTAAAGAATTAACAAAAAAGTTAGAACATAAAGTAAGTTTTTTAACTTTTGTAAGTTGCTTTTTTTTTTTTTAAGAATTTTGGTAACAAAAAACCGAGTGAAAAAAGACCAATACAGTATAAAGCTTCAAAGCAGTTCAAATGAACTAAACAGGTGTCTAAATAAATAGTTTATCAAATTGAAAATGAAAAAAGTTGAACCAAAAAAAATGATTATATACTTAATGATTGGTGGCCAGAAAAAAAAATACAGAAAACGATCTTGCTTTAACTATTACAAACTGCAAACCATTGTGAAAACCATAAAAAATGCGCTAAAAAAAGTAAATAAACATTGATCAAGCACTCTTGTTTGCATTTAAATAATACACCATAAAAACTTTTACATAAAACGTTAATAGGGTAGAGCGGGACTGGTTGAGCAATTTTTACTAAATCCAAGAGAACGGCGCATCGGATTTACATATATTTTTCAATATTTGAAAGATAGTTTAACCTGCTAAAAATTTGGTAAGACAAAAGTATAGTTTTTTATTTTTTTAAAAAGATATTGCCTAAAGTTTGCAGAGTTTCTCAACTTGCTCCAGAGGGGTAAGTTAAGCAATAGTGTGAGGTAAGTTGAGCGATCAACAAATAAATAAATATGCATGGTACAAAACTTGAGTAAATCATCAATAAAACTTTCACTAGCAGTAAGAATGTGTATTATTTATAAACTTTTTATTTTATACACTTTAATAATGTAAGTGAAAAGGAAAAATTAAATAGTACGAAAGTGTCATAAAATATAAAAATATTGTTTTATACAACTATCTTGAACTTTGAAATCCGATTTAAAAGTTACTAATTTTAAAAATGTATTTATTCTATGTACGATTAAATTATTTCTTATTGAAGTTGTTTCTCTGTGTTCAATTGTTCTGTGTTATTTACTTTTTTCAAAGCTACTCAACATACCCCTAGTAGATAAGGTGACACATTAGTTAGGTTTTAAAGAGTACAATAAGACTTGGGCAAGTCCAATAAATTGGTAAAATAACAACACTTAAGTGATGGCAGACAAAAAAATTTATAAGCATCTAAGAGAAAACAAGTTAAAAATTTTTTTTTACCTTTTTTGGTCCAAAATTAAAAAAGTGCTCGTGCACCTTACTAATCTGCTTTTCAGCAATCTTTTATTGCGCATTGTTTTAACATTTTAATTCTCTGACTTTTATCCATTAGATGTTTTATCTTGTAATGCGTAGTTTTTGAGATATTTTTATTCCAAAACTTACTCCTATGCTCAAGAAGCCCTGCTCTATCGTACAACCTCATCTTGAATATGGTGCGGTAATATAAATCCAAAGTGGAAGCTAGGCCAAACAATATTGCTAACTTTACAACAATGGAAGTGAGGCCAAGCAGTGCCGCTTATTTTTCAAAATTGTTGCAAACATTTAAATGACTAGAGAATAATATAAAAGTGCAATATTTATTTGTTATAATTATTTCTTGCTTTATTATTATTAAAATTATTTATGTACAATCTTCCTTATGTAGAAACGTATGTTGAAGCTCAGTATTTAATAGCATTTGCTGTTTTTATTGTAGGTAACAAGAAATAGATTTTTTAAATTTGAGTGTTGCTTTCTAAATTTTTCTCAATATACCAACAAATTTTTAGACGATACCTGACGTCAAAAAACTAAATGAGATCGGATCGATATTTAGAGTTAAAAGAACAATGATTTGACGTCGGATTGGATTACAACTTCACGCAATCCATTATTATAATGACAAAAATCTTTTTTTATTTTAAACTCAATGATCTGAACCTAGCAAAAAAAAAAAAGCGCAATTGGATTTGTGATTTATTCATTTTGGTTATTAACCAAAATGATATATTTTAACTTGAGATAGTGATTTTTTTTTTTTTTTTTAAGTTCACGCTTTCCTCTTTAATAACTCACTTATTGGGCTTGAGCCGGCTGCGAACCAAAACACTTAGTTTTAAGCCAGAAATAAGCGCCACGGCTAAGACGACTGCTTTTTTTTTTTTTTTATGAAGTGATTTTTGAAATAATCAGAGTTTAAAGAAGATGAAATAATCAAAAAAAAAATTATTTTTTTATATTAAACTTTAATTTTTTAGTTTTTTTAATTTTATTATTAATAAAATTTTTAAAAATGAACTTTATATACATCGTAATTAAAAAAAAATTCAAATAATTTTTTAAACAATTTGTCTGTTATTTTGAAAGTAATTTTAACTTTATAATTTCGACAACTTTAACAATAGGGTATTTATTTAACGTTATCTCTTTTGGCGCAGAAGATCCTAAATACGCTACTGGGCGGTTTTAATTAAAAAAAAAATCTTAACCAAATAAAAATGGCTAGAAAATATATATATATATAAAAATTCAACTACAATACATTTATATTTTTATAATCTAACACAAACTTTTATTAAACTGGCATTTTACATTTATATAAATTTTATTCAGACTTATAAATTTTGTTTTTTATTTAATTTTCATCAGTTACAATGAAATAATTTCTTCAAAACGAAGTAATTACTCCATTGATTCGAATGCAATGGAATTGGTTTGAAGTTGTTGTAAACTTCTTAATCTCCATTTAATCTTATTGTTTCTACAATTAACGACAAATTATTATTTCAAATAGTTAGCTCAAAGAGCGTCAACATAAGACGTCAAGCAATCAAAGTCTGTGATCAAATTTAACGTAATAATTACTTTCATCGTTACTTTAATATTATTATTTTCTAAGAATTTATATTTTTAGGTTTCTATAAAAAAAGAATAACTTTAAAGTTATTATGGTTTAATACATAAAACTGTTTTAACACTAAAACCTGTTTTCAATAAATTGTAACTATTTCATTCGTTCTCAATTCTTTAATGAAACTTGAAAACATACACGCTCACGCGTGCAAACATGCAAATACTCATGTGTAACAATTATTCTTCTTAAAGGGTTATAAATAAAAAAATTTAAAAAAATTTGTTAATTTATTTTAAATATGTGTCTATCAAATTTATGGTATTTTGTTGAAATATAGAAAAATTACGGGTGGTTTAAGTTACGTGCGAAAACGAACGTTATTACTTAAAGCTGTGATTCGTCAGAGGTAAGGTTTTCTTAGAATAGTAATACCCTGGATAGGCAAATAAATGATAAAAATAATTCCCCTCTAACATTCAATTTAAACACTAGGCTCTCAGAAGGAGATCATTTTGTAATATGAAGTTTAAACTCGTGTCTAGGTTTATTATTTTTCGCAGTTTATTAGAAGAAAAGACATATGACACTCTATTGTTATGTCATTTACTAAAATTAATAAGCGCTTTTAGATCAACTTCAAAATGGCTCCTTCTGCGTCGAAAATCATTGTAAAAAAAAAATTGATTGAGATAATTTTAAAATTGTAGATTGAATGTTTATAAAATGGTAGCTATAAACAGTTGTACTTTAATTGCCCTAAACAAAATTTCAACATACCTATTTATAATTGAATAGGTCAAAGGTAACTACAGTTCTTGATTTTTTTTTTTTTTGGCGTCCATAAAACTATATTATTGTAAAAGTATGTTTAGTCGTATGTTAACTGTTTACCTTCAAACAATAAAAGAAAAGATTGTGTTTATGTTATTTTTTTAAATAAAGTTATTACGTTATAAACTTTTATGAGTTTTACTCATGTTAGTTTTATACGTAATATATAATTATATTTATGTTTATTATTAGTGACTACTATTTCATGTATGTCATGTATGTATTTATACGTTTTTACTCATCCTTGATAACATTTTGTATGTAATACAGCTTGTCTTTTTAATAACAACGTCATGTTTAGTTTTTCTGCGCCATATCAGAATGATCATATTATTGTTAACAAATATAAAAACAAAAAAAAAGTCAAAGCTAAACAAAAGTAAACCTGATGAAAATGTGTTATTTTTCTGTTTGACAATTTATAGTTGCAGCAAAGAATGAACAGCATTAATATCAGTGAAACTAGAAAAACCTTCTTTGATCAGTCTAAAAGTTTTCTTTGACAAAAATTGGTATATTAGAATGCACAAGACAAAGTGGGATAAAGAATATTTGTAAAACATAATATAAAAAAGAACATCTTTTGTTTTTAACTTATATGGTATGATTATGATGGGTGTATCAACATAAATGGTATGACAAATTTAGCATTCAACTTATCATCAATCTTATTTATTTAAACAACTCAAATTCAAGTCAACTAGTGATTGTTATATCATCATAAGTCTTCATTTTTATAGTATACCTATACCTAGTATACATAGCTATACATTATATAGCATTCATTGATGCTCATGCATCATTAGCCAAAACTGTTGTTAATATTAATCAAGCCTAAAAATAATCATCTCTACTACGTTTTACATGAATATAACTCGCTTATAAAACATAAAGCATACCTCTAAACCTTGTGTTAACATTAAGATCATTATACAAATTAATTACAATACATTCTTAAATTATTTTTCGTAATTAAGTTTATTATTAAATAAAATTACACAACGACTACGGTTGAAATGAACGTATGATAAACGAAAAATTTAGAACATATGATAATTGTTAAATTTTGACAAGTCATCCTAAATGTTTTAATATAACATTAAGGTAATTATTTATGTACATCCAAACGATACAGAACAAAACAGTGATGAAAATGATGTGCATATATCGCTAATTTAGAAAAAAACGTTATTTAAAAATCAGTTTTTTAAATTATTGTTATATTATTAAACAGTCTCATTATTATTAAAACTACAGACACTGGTTTTCAATACTACTTTTAATACTACAGAAAACTTTGACTTACAAAAAAATCAAATTAAGTGCAAATAACCGTTTGATAACTGTCGGAGAAATAGAGAGAGAGTGTGTGTGTTAGTAGTTTGAATGGTCTCGTAAATCCGAAGCTGCAAAGAGCTTTTTGAATCAAAAAAAATACAGGCGATGTTTTTATATAAAATGTATTATATAAAAATATTATTTATATATATATATTTTCCAAATAAAAGTCGATCATAAAAATATTTTCAAATGTGTAGTTTTATTTATATTTAGGATACAATTTTCTTATATATTTGTAACAAATATATTACTTAACATTATATTTTCAAAAATATTTTTTGCAATTTTAACAATGAAGAAAGCATTCAATAAGCTTGACAACAAAGAGAGGGCTGTTGTTAAGGGAGTTGTTAAGCTTCTTGAAAGTTAATCACAGAACAATATTGTACTTAAATAGTTTAATCAATTTAGGTTTAAATCAATTGCAAAACTATTTTTATTTAAGTAGTAAAAAGATATAGCTTAAAATAACATTCAATAGGATAATCTGGGGTAAAGCGAGACACTGGTGAGACAATTAGGTTTTCTAGCCTTGAACACAATTTTTTTTTGTTACGTTTAATATTCAAGTAGCTTCCATCTTCTTTTTTTAATATATGACTCAGAAAAGTTTAAAGTTTACGAATAACTCAAAACGAGTTGCGTCAATTTGATGAAAAAATCAAAATGAAAAAAAGTTTTTTTTGAAAAAATACAAATTTAAATAATCTTATTATGTTTTTATTTTGAGTAGATAAACCATTAAAATAATATTCATAAAAAGTAAATCTCTGTAAACCCATAATTTTTAAACGAAAAACTACAATAAAAAAAATAATCAAGCCAACTGGAACGAAGATGCTCTAAATACGGTAATGTAAAAACAGATGTCTACAAGACAAATTTTTCAGAGATTTTAATATGCCAAACAAAAAATAAAATAATAGCGCCGCAGCAAATATTTTGTTTTTAGCGATCCTCGCTAACATTACCAATTTTTTGTTCCAATCCTTTAAGTCTCCGCACATAGTTAGGTAGTTAATACATTGGGCTCACTCCTTTTTTACTTATCATAATCAAAAACACTAAGAAAACACCTTTTTACTAACCTGTGGATAGCACTATGCATACTGCTGACAATTCCAGTGACAGTGGCCAGGTGTTTCAGCGAGTTGAAATAAATTAAATCTAGCTACGTATTTAGATGACGCAAGAAAAATTGACATTTCATGCGGTACTCTCCATTTAAAAGAAAGAGGCAAAAAACTCAATCTTTGAAAAATTATTAAACAATTTTCCTTAGAAAAATTTACCGATTTGCCAGTAATTTAAGACTTCATTTAGAATTACATTGTTTGAACTAAATGATTTCTCTAACTTGTTACGATCGTTTAAAAATGGGTTACATAATTCGATTCGAGTTCTTCATATTTACTTATATTCAATTTATTCAAAATCAGCTTTAATTTTCTTTAATACTTAATTATTTTTTTATAAATGAACTCTGTCTCACTTTACACCAGATTTTGGGTAAAGTAAAACAAGGTTGTTGTCTACACTAATTGAACAACCTATTGCCACAAATATTTAAAAGATTATTTAGACACATAACGGGTTATTCGCCTGCAAATTTCACTGTTATAAAACGTAATTCTTCTTAAGTTATGAACATTCTCCAAAAAAGTGTCTTTGCGCCAACTTGCCCTACTGCAGTTACTTTGCTTTAGACACTGAGTCAGTTCTTTGAAATTTTACAACCTTAACTCAATGAGTTTGAAAATTTGAGGTAGACTGAGTGTTTCTCGTTGGTTTTTTTTCACAACCATTGTTAGCTGTGAAAATCAAGGTTTGTTCCCAATGATTAAATTAACAATCACTTTATTTTCTAATTGTTTAAGAATGCTTCTTTTTTCTTTTAAAATAATAAAGAATCATCATAAAATTATCACGAAATCATAAAATTTTAAAAACTTTATATTTATTTCTTTTTGATGAATTTTTTTGTTGTTATAAATTTGTATTAAAAAAAAAAAAAAAAAAAAAAAAAAAAAACTTGAAAATTTATGTACTGTACCGAACTGATTTATTTAAATAAACATTTAAATTTAAATTTGTGTTGCATAACAGTTGTATATTAACCTAATATAATCACAAATTAGGTTATTATGATATACGCTGTAGTTACCAATTCCTTGAGGGCTTGCAAACGGCATTTAGACGTCTTAATAAAGTCCTGATCAGAATTTATTTGGTTTGAAAATATTGTCTGATTACGTCTAAAAGACACCTTAATCAGACAAATTGTTTAGTTTAAAAATACTGAAAAAGATTATGAACGAAACTTCAAAAAAATATCAATTTTATTATGTATTTATTAAAACTCATGTCAAGCATTTAAAGTGTGTACTGGCATTCTAAAATCTGTTACTGATTGTTTACTGGTCGTTTACTGATCGTTTACTGGTCGTTTACTGGTCGTTTACTGGTCGTTTATATAATTTTATTTACATACCTAAATGTAAAAATGAATCTAATTTAAAAAACTGCATAGCAAAATGAAAAATGCTACAGCAAATTTATTAACAAAATTGCTTTGTTTGCAGCAAATAATCACTTCCACTATTAACGTCTTACTTCTAGTTTATAAAAAGAGGTCCGAAATTCTATATTTTTTGTTTGATCAATTATTCTCAATTAATTTTTTTAGAAAAGTTCAATAAACGATTCAGTTTTTTCTAATTTTATGTGGTTGACCTTCTACTTTAATTTTTAACATTTTAAAAATATTTAAAAACTTAAAAACTAGAAATCTTTGCAGCGTATTCTTTGTAAAGTTACGCAACTTTATGTTAAAATTTATGCAGTTTAATTTTGAATTAAAATGTTGCGTTAGAACAAAAGTAAGTCTTATTAAGCGTAAAAATTTATTTTCGTTAATTAATACTTTGCTATTAATTTTGTTAACTGAATTTAGATACCGATTAAAATGAAAAATATTGCAACAAGAAGTAACAAACTAATAATTAATAAATCATAAACTAGCAAACAAATAAATTAAAATTAATAAACTTCTTTAGAAACTTTCCAGTAATAGACGAATTTTATCATACAAAATTGCCTTTACTCATATCATAAGTCTCCTTTACTCAGTTCTTTTGTACTTGTCTTTAATAAAGTCAACAATAAAATTCGAAAATTTTCATTAAATAAGATTGACTGCTCAGTAGTCGTAGAAGCGGTTTGAATATATGCATCAAAAATCTTGGATGATTGTATCATTTTGGCAAGTAGTTGGCAAATTTTAGCTATCTTTCTTGAACAGAAAACAAGAAAGTATTATGGGTTTCGAAAAAAGATATAATAATGGAATAACTGATGTATTACGTTTTTAAGCAGATTTTTTCAATTTTTAAAACAATTTCAAATAACCTTGAACTTAAGCGTCAGCGTGGCACTCATTGAAATTCTTCGGAAATACTGACTTCGGAAATACTGGCGGAAATACTGACTTCGGAAATACTGTCGATTACAAAAATTCCTCGAGGTAATATACTTAAATATGCAAACTATTGTGAAATCAAGATTTAGGTAAGTTAGAAATATTTTGGGAAATGTGTCTCGTTGTTAAAAAATTTAAAAATAAAAAATACAGTTGGAACCACTGACAGAAACAACTGAGACAGGGCAGGTTAACAAAAAAAGAACTGTAAGCTTTACATTAGGCGTCCTAGAGATATTATCTTAGCTTGTTTGAAATTACAAGCCAGCCCATTTACTTGCGAATCAGATGTCAATAAATATATTGAAAAACAGAAAGATATGTTAAATGTCAAAAAATGATTGATGAATGGGATGTTTATTTTAGTAATAATCAAAAAATAGTAAATCATTGCTGCAAAGATTCACTTTATTTAAAATCATAATTATCGATAAAAATGCAAAAATACGTCGTCTTATGTCTACAGAGGGATAAGCATATAATTTAAAGTTTCTACTTAACTTGGAAAGTCCTCATAACAATCCACAACCACCTACGATAACTTTTTTTTAGTTAAGGTGTTAGCTTAGCTGTTAAGGTGCTCCAAGAAGGACTAAGCGTCTTATCACTAAGCACCGTGCAATTCAACTATGAAGTTTACACATCCTCATTTACCAATGTCACTTATTTGGTCAGAGCCAACATCAAACTTCAAACATCTAGATTCTGAAAAAGATCTCAAATCACTGTACCATGGTTGGAATGAAGTTGTTTCGCATTTTCATTAGTAATTGTTACAAATTTTTTATATGGAGTAACTTCATGAATAATGCCTAATTTTTTGTTGTATTTATAACTACATATAATGATTACGTATTTTATTGAATTTTTATCACAAATTTTACTTTGACAATAAAAATGATTTCATTTAATTTAACTATTGATTGTTTTGTCAAAATAACCACTTTTATTGAATTTAAATTAGAAGGCCAAATATTTATAATGAAAAAAAGAGAAATAAGTAATTCGAAATCAGCATAAAAATTAATTAAGAAAAAGTGGTTAAATTACACAAAATCCAAAATAAGTCAGCTTTGGACCTCCCTTGCCTCCCTTAGTAAAAATTCAGTTTTGGACCTCCCTCGCCTCCCTTAATAAAAAGGAGCTAAAATTTTTGATCAAATAAATGAACAATAAATAGATAAACTAAAAAAATTTTGGCTAAATAAATAAAGTTAAGCGTTTAGTTGAAAAATAAACTATAAATTTTGGTCAAATAGTTGAACTAAAACTTATGGCTAAATAAATAAACTATAACTTGCTTAAGCAGCAACTATAGTATTTGCAGAAAAGATGAAAAAAGATTCAACTGTGAAGAAGATCATAAAAGAATCACGATGAAACAGAGACCCAAGCTTGTCAGCTGAAGCAGATCCGAAAACATTCACAATGCAATTTCAGATTTTGCTTAAAAGAAAGAATATCTTATTTAAAATACTAGCTTAAATATGATAAAATAAATATGTTCTCATATTTAAGCTGTTTTTTTTAATGAGGTCCATTGCATATGTTCGTAATTGTTTTTTGATTTGATATTTTAAGTTATTATATTTTTATTTTTATTTAATATAAAACTTGACGCAATAATATCGCAACTATAGATATTTTCATCAAGATAAATATAGAAGAGCTGCATAGCCACTACCAATGAATCTTAAGCAAAAACCCATTCAAAAAGATTATCCGTCATTCTAGGCAGGAAGCAATGTAACAAAAGTTTATATCAACGCCAGTCTTTTAAATGTAAAAAGGGTGCAAAGTTGGTCAATAGAAATTTTTTGTCTACCCTTAAAGCTTTTGCCTAGGAGGCCTTTAAAATCTTTAACTTTAAATTATCTTTTACTTGTAATTGACTCCACTCCAGGCTTTACATGTTGGTTAAAAAATGTGAGCAGTTTTTATGAATAGTTACTTCAAAGAAATAGTTGCGCATGACATGTAAAAATAACAACTTGTGTTTAAAGTATTATAATAACTGTCTATATTTTATAAATAAAATTATCAAATAAATGCATGGAGTTATTAGAAAAATAAACCATTCCAGAATATAATGAAAAACTTTATTTTAGTAGAATAAAATTTCGGATTACGTATTTTGAAAATGAACCAAAGCAATATTGGATTAATCTAGCAGTGTTTTCAGAAACTTACTGAAAAAATATATTAATAAACAATGTTTTTATAAAAATTAATTAATAAAAGTTTGTTCTACTAAAATGTTCTTTTTTATTGTGGGATGTTTGCTTTCTTAATAATGTCATTCATTTGTTTGCTTCATTCAGTTGCTTGAACATTTTTTACAACTCTTTTTCCCGTTTTCATATAAGAATCGAAATTTTTTAAACCAGACGCAGAAAACATTTTAAGTTAACAGTTAAACACATGTTTTGTTTAGGGTAAATAAAGGTGAAGAGGTCTTTTTAAAAACTTGAATTTTTTTTTTTTTTTTTTTTTTTTTTGAGTAATTGATTTAGGTGAATATTGATTTATAAATATTATTGATGTATTATATTGGGTGAAATTTGATTATTAATACGACATATAATTATAATGAAGAACTTTCCAGCTTTTCAAACATTTATAAACTCACGTCTACTAATGTTTTATGTGCAAATGGTTGGTATAATTAATCAACGGATAAATGTAATATCAAAACGCTGAAATGCTAATACTCCTATATTTTCCTATTATTTCCCAGCTTTTTTTTTTTTTTATTTTGCTGAAACAAAGTCATAAATGTATTCAGCTTAAACAAGCTTTCTCTTCAGCCCCTTCCTGAGTGTGAAAACTCAGTTTTTAATATTTGTATTATAAAAAGTTGGGATATTTTTCAATTGTTGATTGACCAGGTAAAATTAACTGACTATTTGATGCTACGTAACCTCTGCTTTAAAAACATTTAAAAAAAAAATAACTACATATTATAGTTTTATTATTTTTTTTAATTTCTGTAAATATAATTTTTAAGAAGTAAAATGGCATAAAAAGTATTTGTTAAAAGCAGTTTTGTTTCAGTTTCAATGTAAGATCAAATAAAAGGGCACTAAAAGCCGTGTCGATGTTACTAGTTTTGTTGAAAGCTGTGTAAAAAGTCATTAATCACAATTTATAAGATCGAGTCAAAAAAAAATTTACACTAATTACCAATTTTGTTCCCATGCTACTTATCAAATTAGAATATAGTGTGAATAACTTAACAGAGTATTATTTTGAGCGTTTATTTTTAACAAAATAAAAATGTAAAGCAAAAATGATGACTAAAAGAAGTGTTTTATAAAACTACGAATGAGGTGTGCCCACAACTTTTACATCAAATTGTATTTTTGTAAAGTCTTTATTTATTATCTTTTTTTACCCTATTGTCTATAGGTTTTATTCTTTTGTGTTTTTAAAGTTTAAAGTACAAAGATTAAAATACGTAATAAGTGTTATCTCGTAAATTTATTTGCATAAATAACTAGATGTTAGTTTGGTAGGCGTGATTTTTGTTGTTAATAAATTTATCATTTAAAATTTAAGACATAATTTTGATGAGTAATTTACTGATAACGAGGTTTAATTATTTATAATTGAAATTTTCTCATACCGAGGTTTATTTACACAACCGATTGAGATTTTATTGTCGATATTTATACAACCGAGGTACGTTTTTATATAAGTACAACCGAGGTACGTTTTCATATAAGTACAACCGAGGTACGTTTTCATATAAGTATAAGTAACTTTTAAATAAATAAGGAAAATTAAAAAACTAAAAAAACTATGTTGTACCAATCGGAGTCTAGAAACAAAATAAATACAAAGTTTTAAAAGAGAGGTTCTTAGCTGCCAGAAAATGTATCTGTCAGGTTATTCCGAACATTACAATTTTCTGAACTTGAACCTCAAAAAGGGATATAAGACATTGGTATTGCTAAATGTCTTAGATGTTTGAAGCAACTCGAGTTACAACTATGAAATAAAAAACTCTATGTATGAATATGTTCATATCACAAATGAGGAGTTTTGCAAAAAAGTGCAGGAATTGAAGAAGGAAGCAATAAAATCCTTGAGAATCCCTACCCTAAATACTAAGGAAAAAAGTTAACTTTTTTTTTTTTTACAATTAAACCTAATAAATGATAAACTAATAATAAATTTTATTCATCGATATAATGGTAATTTAAGTTTCATCTAGTTGCCTTTAAGTAAGGAAGTTATCACCATGTTAAATATAAACCTCTTTGATTTGAGGGGGCTATTAGCTTTGCAGATTCATAAAAACCGAAACCCGTGACATTATTGAATAAAAGTTGAAAAATGTCGCTTAATGCAAATTCAGTTTTTATTTGTTAAATAAAAAATCTTTAATTTTTGGGGTTTGTTGTCTTCAGTCTCCAATAACTGCAATTTTTTTCGAAAAAATCCTCATTCATTGTAGATATTAACATATCTAAATTTTCGATTTCTTCCTTTTTTAAAGTTTATTTTCAAACTTCAAAAAAACTTTGCTACGCCTACGATTTAGGAGAGAACTAACTTTGCTACGCCTATGATTTAGGAGAGAAATATTTTATTTTTACCTGTTTACAAATATTTTAGCGTTTGAAAAGTATTTATAATTTAAAGATATTAAATATTTATAATTTATTAATTACAATGTTACTAAATTTTAACATTTAACGTTTTATTTAAACAGATTGAAAAAAAACAAGTCCTTTCAAATGAATAAACAAAAGGATATATCCTCAACAAACCATAATGATCTTGGTGTACCAAAATTGCAAAACTACGATAGACTAGTTTTGAAACAAAATGATTCATTTCAAAACCCCAAGCAGTTCTTTGAAGAAAAAAGAATGGCTTATAATAGTTCTACCGTATCAGACAATATGTCTGCTTTATCCTGGAAAAATGACTTAACGGTTTCTAAAATGCATGAACCGTTTGAAAACAATATTCCTTTCCAAACATTCAAAAAAGCTTTTGATTTGACTGAAGATAAATATCAGACGTTCTCGGATCACACAGATTCATACAAAATACTGTCAAATGCAGTTCATAATAATTACATTGCTGGTTTGAGAAGAATAAATAGTCAAGATGGACGATCTTTATCAACTGCTACGTCTTTAAAATCCAGTTTTCTTGACTGTGAAAGTCGTAACAGTGGTCGATTTTCCAACATTTGTCATTCGGGCCGTTATTCGGGTCGAGGTAAAAAAAGAACACTATCGGCATCCCCATTTTCTTGCGAATTGTTTGATCTAGCACAAATTATTCGAACATCGCCAAACTCTTTAGTTGCATACGTCACTTCAAATGATGCGAATGGATTTATATCACGTGGATCAGGACGAAATTCATCTGAAGCTTCACGAGCATCGAACGGTTCTTTTGGACATTTAAATATTGGAAGCTTAAGGTCATCACCAATAGGAGTTTCGAGATCAAAAAACCAGCATAATTATTTAAATGACTCTGATTTAACTAATAAAAGTGAAAGTCAGCAAAACCAGTTTGAGATTGAATCTTCATGCATCCAAAATAAAATTAATGACGGTTATTTAACATCTTTGTTAAGCAACCAAAATGATTTTAATAAAAGCCAAAGTCTGCTTCCTCAAACATATTTTAACTTTCCAGAAAACAAAAGTATCATTTTGTCTTCTGCATCTGTAGCTTCTCAACTAACAGCCTCTAACCACTCACCTTTTAGTCAAAACGTAATTTCAACAATCCCGCATCCACCAGTGAGGCAATTTCGTAAAGTAGTTTATAATGAAAAAGATATTAAAGTTGAAGAAAAAGTTCTGTCAAACAAAGATAGTCCAAGAAAAATTGAAAAAGAAAGTGCTCTTATAAGGAACCAAACAAACCTGATAACAAATGAGGTAAGCAACTCTCTTAAAATTATTATTATATAAAGCATGTACTGATTAACATTGCAAGTATTTTTATTTTGTTATAAAAGTTGTGTGTTGTAAAAGTATGTAATGAATGTAGTTAATAATATCATAGGTAAGTAATTGTATAAATGTAGCAAATAATAACATAGGTAAGCGTGCGCGTTTGGTTAAATTGAGTTAATATAGTTTAAATTTTTAATAATATTCACTATTAGGATTTTTTGTAAGTGTTTTGAAGTCCTACATTATTGTCGACAAGATGTTATAAGGTCGACGTTATAAGATTGAATATATTTTGTTATTATTTATTTGAACAACCATGACGCAGTGTTTAGAACGCTGACTTAAGAATCAAGAGGTCTATTGTACGATGCCCGCTCTGACTATATATGCGACATTGTACTGTGATCAGGATTAACTGAAAATTAGGTCAAAATTAATTTTTTTGAAAATATTTATTCAAAATTTTTGAAAATTTTCTCAATAATGTGAAAAAGTTAGACAAGGAAAGAAGTTTAAAAATCTTTAAAATAGGGTCTAATATGGTTGGGGGGAGGGGGAAATAAATAACAGTTTTTGTAAAAAAAATGTAATCAAAAAGTAAATTTTGAAGTAATTCATTTCTATCAATTAAAATGATATTAACTTTTGCACGCATGTATATATATATATATATATATATATATATATATATATATATATATATATATATATATATATATATATATATATATATATATATATATAGACTTAATAAACTTATAAAAACATACCTTTCACATTGTGCCTTAAATTTTGAATTAAAGTTTTCAGATACGTATTCAAAGGTGCATGCAGGATGTCTTGGTGTTTCATATTTGACACTTTCAGGCGTTGTACAATCTCCAAACATAAGAGTATTTATTTTCTCTAATGAGAATGTTTGTTTTTAAAAAAAAAATGCCTAAATTGGAATTATGAAATAAAAAATATCTAAAAATGATTGTTACCCCTACCCCAAATGCGAATTGATTAAAAAAAAACATTTTTATTAAGTCTACTTAAATATAGAGTTTTCAAAATTTTTGAAAGTATGTTATTTGAAACATATCGACCAATTTTGATTTTTTTTTCAATAATTTTTGGAGTTGGACTTTTTATAATTTTTTTTTAATTAAGATTAGAATTATTTACTAAGCTGACTTTAAAAATATTCTCGGTCAAAGAAACGGTATCGATAAATCCAAAAGGTTGACTTGTTTTTTGCCATAAAAGTTTTAGGTTAATTGAATTTAAAGGTTTTAAGGAAACAGCGTCAACAGAATGGATGTATACTGCTGTGAAAATAAATAATGTTTTCACTCTTTATCTCACAATCAAAATGTCATGAAAAATTTATCAGAAATTTTTATTGAAACTGTTAGATAAAAATTTAATAACAAAAAACAACAAGTCATAATCATTGCACTTGTGCAAGTGCAACCACGATGGCGTATTGCTTGACATTAAAATTTTTAAATATGTAAATAACTTTTATTTAGGTCTAATCTGAATAAGACCTCAAGGCTCTGTCTCATTTTATAGTGCTAGACGTGATTTTTTTTTTTTAACTTGAATCAGATTTGATCAAAGTTTTCACAACAGAGTTTCTGCTAAGTCTATTTCTATTTATTTTACCATTCATTAGACATGTTGTAAATAATTAGTAAATTTCATCAATTAATATTCTCACAGATTAATGTAGACGCAAACTTTGTTTAGTGGTACTAATGAGTCTCGTCAATAAACAAACAGTTAAACTGTAGTTTTAAAAAACGCAATATAATTTGCACTAAAGTATAAATTACTACTAACTTCTGAATGACTTTAGCATTTGGTTTTATTGTTAAATTATTATCAAAATTTGAGGTTTTGTACCATCCCACTACTATTTCCTACCCATCCTCAATGGCGCAGAGAGGGTGGGGATCCGGGTCGGTTTTGCCCAGGCAACACGTTTAAGGGGCATCATCATTGGAGAAAAAAGCTTTCAAAAGTGCTTTATTATTCTTATTATTTTTATTTTGGTGAAGGTAGGGTGGGGCATCCAGTAATTTTTTAATTATATACCCCGGGCATCATGAAGTCTCTGTGCACCCCTACCCACCCCACCCTACCCACTTTACCCACCACCACCTTCTTCCTTTATTTCCATCATTTCCAATGTAGTATTTTATTATAAATCAAAATTAAGGTTCTTTTTTAAGAAGTTTTTATCAGAAGTTCTGGTCAAACCAACTTTTTATTGTTTCGTTCACCACATATACAAATATAAAGTAACTGCAATTACCGCTATTGTGAATATTCAATTTTATTTACTTGATTCAAGTTATAAGAAGATTATTTTACCATTTCTAGAAAATTTAATGTTCAGCATATAATTATCAAAAATTGTTTGAGGAGGCGCCCTTTAAGCACATTGTTGGTTCACTCTGGGATAAAAAGTGACAGCACCTTAAGGAAATAAAAAATAATTTATAGCACCTTAAGGAAATAGTAATAAATAAATTGACCTCTTTTAAGCAACCCTGATTTTTACTTTGATTGTTAGCCTGGTAGTTCAATTATGAGATTTTAAGAGAATTAGAAGATGAATTAGAAATCTACAGAGATTTTATAACATAGAATGTATTGATTAGGATTCCATCCAATAATGGATAAGCACAAAGCATTAAATATTGTGCTTATCCATTACCATCATCATCTTACAGTTGATTTGCTTTTAAAGTTGTATAAAAAACCTAGAAAGTCAGGTCATTAAATTTGATAATAAAATATGTCACTGTCAGCAAACGCTATACATGCTGAAATGATTCTTTTAGTTATTCCCTGTAGCTATATAACAAATAACAGTCTAAACACCAAGACAACTAAACAATATATAACTCCACACAACTTCTAAACTTACTATTACTTAAAAGCAGTAAGAGAAATTTTGATTATTTTAATTTGAAATTTATAAAAGACTGCCGTAAATTGGCAAAATAAAGTCTGTTAATAACAAAATGTAAGAGGAAAAAGTAAAAAAATATAATAAAAAGTTATCCCTTACTTCTATAAAAAGGGTCACATTCATCAAATAAGATATAGCAATTTATTTTAAAATGTGGTAACATGTTTCCTTTAATAAAATAAATTCTTTGTATAATAAAATTTATAATAACTTATTTCATAAAAAAACTGTAACATACTTGGTCGTACATACTAAGCGGCATAAATGTTATTTTATATTTAAGCTCGACATGTTGAAAAGTTAAAAATTCGACATCTTTTCTTAACCAATAAGTACAAAAAAGACATCTTATCTCAACCAATAAGTACAGCAAAGATATTTTTTCTCAACCAATAAATACAAAAAAGACATCTTATCTCAACCAATAAGTACAAATAAGGCATCTTAAGAATCTTAAAAATTCTTTAACCAAACAACCATTTAAAAATGATAATTCTAAAGATAACTCTATAACTTTAAACCACAAAAGCAAGTTATAAATAACTCTCGTTCCGGCTTCTTTAAACAAAGTTTTTACTATGGTGCGGCGTCATTTATTAGTTTGCTTTTATAAGCAGGAAAATTGCTTTTGTCCTATCAATTATAAGTTGTATTTCGAGAACTTGCCTTTAAAAACCAAAATTTTTTAACCTTTATATAAAATATTATTATTTGAAAACATTAAAACGTTCAAGTTGCACACTTTTTTATGTTTGCACAAAGTTTATAAGTTATTTCTAAAGATTATTTTTGCACTTATTGGTTTTAAATAATAAAAAACCAAAAAATGGAGTTTAAAAAGCTTACTTTGGCGGATAAAGCTTTTTTGTATTAATTTTATGAGCTGATTTATTTGAATTTATTAACTTGAAGATAACGATAACAAAACTTTATTTCCAGTTTTAGTAACGTTCGGTTTATGAATTTGTTTACAGTGAATATTTAACAGCATACACCAGGTTTAACAGTGAATATTTAACAGCATCAGGTTATTTGAAAATTTTATAAATAACTTTACTACAATTAGAATTTTTTTTTACTTTGGTTTGTTTTAGTTTAACTAATTTCGTATTTTGATAGCTTCACAAACATACTTAATCGTTTTTACTGGTTTCTATTTATTAAATGTTTCATGCACTGCATATATTTAATAAATGACAATAAGACTTTTGACTAATTTATTAAATTTATCTACTTAACCTCACCAAGGAGTACTACAGTATAGGAGACTACCTATTATTTTACATGCATGTCTTTCTGAACCCTAAACTCTGAAACACGAATTTTCGCACAAACGTGGTTTCCAGAGGCAAACATGGTTTCCACTAGTCTTCTACCGATACGTAGTTATCTACGTGTTAGTATTTACAAAGTTTTAAATTATTTTTCGTGTTGAAAATAAAACTGCCCAGTTCAATTTTTGCACAATTTAATAAATTCCAAAAAAAATTTTTTTTTTTTGTTTATGCTGTGACTTTGACATTAGTTACAATCAATTTTTATTTGCAATTTAGTTCTATTTAAATTTAGGTTTTTGCTTAAAAAGTATAAAGCTTAATATTTTTCATAACATAATTCAGTTCTTTTTCGAAATTCAAATATTCAAATATTTTAATTACATAATTTTCAATAACATAATTCAGCTCATACTGCTAAGCATGTAAGGCTGCTTAGGACCGTTTAGCATGTTGAAAAGGTGAGCAAATACTGGGTATCTCAGGGTTTATTCCTCCACTATTTTGAAGAATGTTAAAACATTTTCTACCATTTCTTACAGAATAATCGATTCTGACTACCAAATATATATTTCGGAAGTATAAAAAACAATTTGATAAAATGAAAAACTAATATAGGTTGATGAGACCAACATTTGCAAGCACTTTTTGGTAGATTGGAAACCAGCACTAACAAAAGTAAATGCGAGTTAGTAAAAGAAGATTTAACAATAAAGACGAAACCATTGAAGAATGAATAAAAAAAGATGAGACAATAGCAGTAAATAGCAGAAAAGCAGACGATGATGTTACAACAGGAGATGCGTATTTTACAGAAGATATTGGGATAACTTAGGTTTAACATATTATATAACATATTATATAAGATAACATATTATATACCAAACTATATAAGATAACATATTATATACTATATTATATAAAATAATATATAAAATATATATAAGATAACATTTTATAAAAAGATGAGACAATTTTTATTTACATTTTGCAAGTTTGATTTATTCTTTCAAATGTCCCTGTTCCACACTAGATGTTTTTTTTTTTGTTTGAAGCATTTTTACCAATTTCAGCCATTAACTAAAATGAAACTAAGACTGTTACAATACTTTATTATATTTTAATATATACTAGATTTAAAATTTCGTATATATTAAAGACAAAAATGTTTAAAGATCAATTGAGAACTTAGAAAAAAAACATTTTATAAAATTTTTGGTTAGTTAAAATTAGTTATCTCAAAGTTTCATGCAGTATTGCATCGGTATTGCATTAGTATTGCATACGTATGCAATATATTAATTATACCTAGTTCTTGATAGTTACTGATGACAAAACCCATTAACTTTTTTGCCATAAACCTTTAATCGGCTTATGAACACATTAAAACTGACTCATCCACTTAATATATTTAATAAAATTGGACTTTATCATCTGTATTATTCTTAAGACTGTCAAGAAATGAATTTAAAATGATTTAAAATTGATTTAGGGAAACACTTTTTGGCTTTGTAATAAAATATTTCAATGGCGCTTTAAACCAGCGATCGCCTCTACCAATAGTTTTTGAAATCTGGTTAAAAAGGGATGGCTAATAATATTTTTATTGCAAAATCAGTATTATCAGATATTAATTAAATACCATTCTATTGAAAAGTCCAAAAATGCATTATTCAAGTATAAAAAAACAAAAAACATCTGTTACGCAAATATTATAACGTCTGTTAGAATTTTCGCATTTTCAACAAAAAGCTAAATTTGCTTTACAAGAACGATACAAAAAGCTTCACAAGCTGATAAAAATATTTTCAAGTGGTATGCGAGTGCGGACAAAAACCTCTGAATCCAGACCTGGTCATTAACTATCAAAAGAGCTGAAACGACAAAAATTACAACTCAGGATTTAGTTACGGGAGATCGACTAATATACTTCTTAGGCAATGAAAACACTTGCATTTGGTTTATCACGTTGCATCAAGAATTATCTTTTTTGCACAAATAACTTCGTCGTTACAAAAGCAATTGTCATTGATGGAAGGGATGGCGCTAACGTAAATAAAATTTATATTATGTCAACTTTTTTAAGCCAAATAAATTTGCTTAAAATGATCAAATCTACACAATTGTTTTATTTGATTAATTGATGGATTATTGTAACAGAATAAATACAAAACCACTGATTCTTTTAGCACTTTTTTTTTACTTAATTACTTAGGTGCTCCAATAAGTCTTGAAGTCTTCCCCCAAAGCTGTCATTTAAGTATTTGAGTTGGAACATTGAGCAGGTTTTAAACTATAGTTGGCAAATTGCAAATATTGAGGACCTTTTTTTTATTATTTTAGGTGTCTCTAGTTGGCAAAAATTACACAAACACCCTACACCACCCCACCGTTTGAAAATTTTGACTTTTTTGGTTACGAAACATCCCGAAAAAATCCTCTTAGGGTATGAAACTACACATGTCAAGAATACTATATCAACTTACTTTGAAATCCAAAATTAAAATCCGAGAGAGATATTTTGATTTAAATTTTTGAAATAATATAAAAACATTAGCAGTTTTTGTTTTTGAAAATAGCTGTATTGGGGTGGGTCGTAGTGATTTTTTTAATAAAATAACTTTTTTAGACAATTAATTTGTAAAGATTTCGTATTTAATAAATTTTTTTGAGAAATGAGCTATAAGGGGAGATATTTCCATTTCAAGTTTTGAATCGATTAATTTTTGAATCGCGAATTACGATGAAAAATTTGATACGTGAATTGCCGTAAATTTGTACTTTCCTAAAATTTGTACTCTTCGGACATTTCCAATTTTACGGACTTTTTGTACTTTTAGTACATTTTCATACGTTTTATGACCTCTTTGTACTTTATGAATTAGTTTAAATGATATCTTCAAACAGATCACAAGTTCATCTCAGATTTTGAAATGCCTACTTTTTCAAAGGATCATAATCAATGTCGGCAGGTCGTTTGCACACTTTGTATGAAAAGTGACAGAGAAATTTCAGAATATTTCATCAGTGAAATCAAAAGATTGATTTCTGGCAACATCAACTTTGATGATGAGAGGGTTCCACGAGGGATCTGTGTCACCTGTAGGTTCCTGCTTAGAAAGTTAGCTTCTGGAGATGAAGAAGTGAGTATACCTCAACTTTATGACTTCAAATCCATATTGATCAAACCATCAACTCGCCAGACAACTAAATGTGATTGCATCATTTGTCAAATTTCAAAAACCAAAGGGAAAGGAAAGCACCCCTTTGAAAAACCATCTCAGCAAGAAGTGCAAAAAGAAGAAAAATCTTTTGAAAAACGATGCACAAAATGCCTATCTGTCATTGCTCGAGGACTGCCTCATAACTGCAAAGAAGCAACACGTCGTGAAAACTTGAAAGCTCTGGCATTGGCAGATCCGTTAGGGGCAGAGCAAATTGCATCATTCATCGTTTCTTCCAAAGAGGTATCTTCCGATGGAACTATTCTGATTAGCCGGTTTCATGGAAAGCCTCTTGAAATCAGACCAGGTATGTTAAAGTATTGTTGCTGGGTTTGCTTTTTAATATTGGTTTTTTTCTTATTTGTTTCTTTATTCACAGGATCAAATGCAACTCAGGGTCTCTCCTCAGAGCCATTGACAACACAAGATATGATTAATATTCAGCAAAACATTGGACTTTCTAACAATGGAATGAGAAAGCTTGGGTCAGCTTTAAATCAAATAAGTCCTGTTTGCATAGTTGAGGCCAATTTTCAACAAAAATTTGCTGCAGCTGGAACTACCCTCAAAAGTTTCTTTACAGTAACCACTTCACAGTTACCAGAATCAAATGAAACACGCCATATTGTTCACTGCACAAATTTGGAAACCCTCAAAGAAAATATTGTTTCATCCAGAGGCTTGCAAAACTCAAACTTCTTAAAGCTTGGCATTGATGGTGGAGGATCATTCTTTAAGGCAAGTTTGAGTCTTATCAGTGAGCATAAAGGAGAACCTCACAGTCCTGTTCAGAAGAAATCAAAATTGATCACCAAAGACAACTTCAAAAACACAAGTGTTCAAAAACAACTGATTGTTGCCATTTCAGAGAACACACCAGAGACTTACCCAAATGTTAAGCACATTCTGGATCTTCTCCAAATCAATGAAATCTCCATTTCAGAAAAACTTGTTATTTCTTGTGACATGAAGCTTGCAAACATAGTTTGTGGAATCCAGTCACACAGCAGTAAGCATCCTTGCTGTTGGTGCAACATAGACTCAGCACATTTGGAAAACTGTGGTCAGCTTAGAACATTTGGGGGCATCAGAGACTTGTACAAAAAATTTGTGAAGTCTGGTTGTGATGCCAAAAGATCAAAAGAGTTTGAAAATGTGGTTCATTTGCCAATGTTTGCCTTTCCAGACAGGGAATTGATCCTTGAGGCAATCCCACCCATGGAACTGCATTTGCTCCTGGGAGTTGTCAACCACCTCATCAAGTACTTGGTTCAAGTTTTTCCAAAGACCAAACAATGGTTGGATTCAATCTACATTCAGATGCAACCATTTCATGGTGGCCACTTCAATGGAAAAGATTGCATGAAAGTGCTGAGGAAAATTGAAGAGCTTATGCAATTGACAATTGCTGAAAAAGCACCAGATGCAACAAAGGCATGCCAAGCATTGAGCTCATTTCACCAGGTTGTGGTTTCATGCTTTGGATACACTCTGTTGCCAGATTATGAGGCAAAAATTTGTGATTTCAAAGATAACTACTTGAAATTACCAGTCTCAGTCACACCAAAGGCACATGCTGTTTTTCATCACGTTCAACAATTCATTCATCAGCACAAGGTTGGTCTAGGTGTATTCAGTGAGCAAGCAACAGAAGCTCTTCATTCAAATTTCAAGACCCACTGGCAAAGATTCAAGCGAAACTCTACTCATCCGGAATATTCCAGTCAACTCCTCAGTTGTGTAGTTGATTACAACAGCAAAAAGGTTTAGTTGGAAAGAAAGAAAATAAAAGACTCCTCATTTTCAATTTGGAGAAACTCAGTTTGTGTGTGTGTAAAGAATGTATTTATTTGTCAAAAGAAAAATTTTTTAAGTGAGAAATTTTGATTATATCAAAAAATTGAAAGATGGTTTTCTAAATATTTTCAAATAAAATTTTAAAATTGTGAATATGAATTATTGTCAAAAATGGCATATTTTCTATCTTAATTTTACTTTTTAAATTAGTTAGGCTGTATTAGGACTGATATGACCCCTTTTGTTAAGGGCAGGTTGTAACCAACTTCTATCCATTTGGTGAAAATATTGAATATTTTCAAATCAAAATATCTCTCTCGGATTTTAATTTTGGATTTCAAAGTAAGTTGATATAGTATTCTTGACATGTGTAGTTTCATACCCTAAGAGGATTTTTTCGGGATGTTTCGTAACCAAAAAAGTCAAAATTTTCAAACGGTGACCCCCCACCCTATCCCCCGGAACACTTCTTCGGGACGGCCGTGTTTATTTTAGAACACTGTGGAATAGCTATTAACCAGGAAGCTAATGCCTCTATCTTTACCAATGATGTATATATGGCTAGAGTCAGTTTCAAACCACTGGACCTCCAGTTCTGAAGCCAGAACTCTAACCACTACACGACGGCTGCATTATTTAAATTCAATCTTTAGAATTTTATTAAAAAACTGGTGTGTTGAACACTGGTATGTTGTGAAAATATTTTTGATGTAGTTTTATCCTCGCAAGTTTAAAATTGCGGAAATTTTTTTTTCTGTTTAAAAACTAATTTTAGCGTTTGTTAAAATTTGAAATAAAGTTTCATGGGATTACTCTTTAATGTTGACTAATTTTTTTTTTTTATTATACTAAATTTTTTATAATAACAAAATTGGTATAACAGTTTTACATTTCTCGAAATATTAAACATGTTATGCACATCAAAATTATTTCCTGAGACTTTTAGTGTTTACTAACTAAACCAAAACGCAACAATTGATTACTGTCCTTTTTTGTATTTAATGTTAAGTTAATTTACTTTACATTTTATGCTAGGGGCAGATCCAGACCATCTAGTCTGGAAGGATGGGGGCAATTTTTTTTAATCAGTAGTTTTTTTTTATTCATTGGATCAATCGAGGCAGAAGGGGGAGGGCGTGCGATTTCTTGAATTGGTGAATCCAGACTCTAATAAAGTAGAGGGGGAGGCAAATTTTACGTTTAAATCATAAAACCTTTTTAGTAAGTTTTTTTTTAATTAATAGTTTTATACTGTTTTAATCTATATAACTATAAAATTACGTCATACTGATAAAATTACGTCATACCCAACACTACGATTTTTTTTCGCATCACGCAAACTTTATTAAAGTTTCTTATTTTTTTTAAACAGCCTCCCTAATTTACCTCCATTTTCAAACAACATGCTTTGTTAAATAAACAAATTTACAAAAAAAAATTATTTCAAAATACGAAGGGGTTCGCCCCCATCGTACTGCCCCCTCCCTATGAATCGGCGCTTGATGCTGACATAAAAATAACATTTAAACATTTAAGTAACATAAAAAGTACTGATGTCACAAATGTAAAGATATTTACTTGTACTGAGAACGAACTATCCTGAGAACGAACTTTCGCATAAAATAGTAAACAAAAAAAGCTGTTAAATAATCAAAATATTTGCATAGTCTAAATTCTTAAGTGAAAAATTAAAATCAAACTAAAGCTTGATGAAAAACATGGTTAGATTTATAAGTGCATTTCTAAATGTTTTATGTCTCGTTAATTATGCTTATAAAATAAGGAAAACAGTATATTAGTACAATTCTTTCGGTTTGGTATCGCTTAATTGCATTTAATTAATTATCATAACTTAAAAAGCAACAATGATTTCTATATTAAGAATAATAACAAATGAAATAGCTCTGGTGACAATATTATCATTAAAACTAATGACATAAAATAACTTTATTTAGACAAAACCATCAGGCGATGCAGAGTCAGACGGAGAAGAAATTGATCCTGTCGATTTGTGTTGTTATTGGAAAAATTGCAACATAAAATTTGACAGCCAATTACAACTTGTTCACCATGTAAATGCTGATCATATTCAAAAAAATAAAAAAGACTGTTCTTGTTATTGGCAAGGATGTTCAAGAGGCGAAAAATCTTTTAAAGCCATGTACATGCTTGTTGTACATGTGAGAAGACACACTGGTGAAAAACCACATAAATGCCATGTAATAATATCTCTAACTCTTTGCTTAGCTATTATAAAACCATATTTAATAGATTGTGAATAATTTTAATTTTAGTATAAAGATTGCAATAAAGCTTACTCTCGACTTGAGAATTTAAAGACTCATCTTCGGTCTCACACTGGAGAACGACCTTACTTATGCGAAATTCCTGGGTGTAGTAAAGCATTCTCAAATGCATCAGATCGTGCCAAACATCAAAACCGAACCCATTCTGACGTGGTAAGAAAATGATATTTATATTTTTGGATAACGTTAATAATAGGCCGGCTAGTTTATCTACTTTAAAATATGTACTTAAGTAACACAAATTTATGTAGAAACAGTATGGCTGCAAAGTTAATGGCTGCTCAAAGCGTTATACTGATCCAAGTTCACTCAGAAAACATATGAAAACAGTACATAGCGTTCATGTTCAACCAACAAAAAAGGTCAGTATGCGTTAATTATAATATTTATAAGTTTGATTTTTTTGAAATTTCTATTAAGTTTTTTATTTTTTGTTAAAATCAAGATAGAAAAAGTCATAGTTTGTAAATGAGCATGATTAAAATAACTGGGCATAAAAGAATTTATAACAAGCAAATCTTATTGTTGTTTATAAGTGATTCTATGTATACAAAGCTTTGCCACTTGACAGAGTAGGAGTTTTTATGTATATATATATATACAGATAAATATATATATATATATATATATATATATATATATATATATATATATATATATATATATATATTTGGAGTTTGGAGTTTCTGAGAAATGCGTCCGGACAACGAAACAAAACTTTCTTCACACTGGTGGTGTTAGCGAGAAAACAAGGCCAGGTAGAACCTTGTCAACCACCAGAAAGGACGATAGTGTTCTTTTTAGAGCTGTCAGAGCTAATCCAAGAATTAGTTACAAAGAATTGACCACAGAATTCAATACAACGCGAAATACATCTATTTCTCAAAGCACAGTCCGCCGAATACTTATCAAATACAAGATTGGAGTCTTCACTGCTTTGAAGAAACCGCTTCTGCGTCCATATGATAAACAAAGGAGACTAAAATGATGTCGTGAAAGAAGGTATTGGAAAATAGAACAATGGGAAAACATTATGTGGAATAATGATGAGAGAAACTTTAAGCTTATCAATCGCAAATCTAACATAAAAGTCAAAAGAATGGCTCACGAAAAGTATTACGCTAGGTACATTAGACCGACTGTACAAAGTGGAGGAGGCTCGATAGGAATTTAGTCAATTACAAAGGTGTTGGTATATGCCAAACATACACCGGAAGAATCAACTCCAGAATATACGTAGAAGTACTGGAAAACAACCTATTTCCATCAATTGACCTGCTTATGCTCAATGATAAACCATGGAAACTTCAACAAGATGGCGCTACTGCACATACTGCATACTTTACAAAGGAGTGGTTCAACAATAATAATATCATAATAATACCGTGGCCTCCATACTCACCTGATTTGAACCCGATTGAAAACATTTGGGCTTGGATTAACCGTGAATTAACAAAGGTTCAAATTTCCACACTTGGTCAGCTGAAGTAATTCCTTAAGGAGACCTGGTATGGGGTCCCAGAAGCGATGTGCAAAAATCTTGTTAAGTCTATGCCTAGAAGAGTTCTTAGTTGTATTAAAGCAAAAGGCGGATAAATATAATCAAAATATTGATTGGTGCATAAACTACACCTTCTAATGTATTGTGCGTCTAAATTTATGAATAATTTTTTTTGTCTAATTTTTTTAATACCATGTAGTTGTACCTAATTATTACTTAGTACTTCATTTTTTTTGTAATCTTTTTTTAAATTTTGTATTCTGTATGTATTTATCTAATAAATAGAAAAAAAACTAAACCGAAATCTTTTTTCGTCATTGTTTTATCGTTAAAAACTAAAAATTTCTATTCTCAAATATGAGTGCGTCTAAATTTATGAAAACCACTGTATATATATTGTATATATATATATATATATTTATATATATATATATATATATATATATATATATATATATATATATATATATATATATATATATATATACATACATACATATATATAAGGCATGCTTAATGCAATTAAGGTCTGGTGCGTTCCCTAGCCAATCAGTACAGACATTGTTGTACTCCCTATTGATAAAATCCAAAATAATCCATCTTCCATTAAATCAGTAAATTGAGCAAACAGAAGTTTTGCTTTATCAGTCATGTCAGCTTTGTAAACAGGCAAGATCTGTTTTCTGAAATAAAAACCATCCACTGTTGTATACACTTTTTGTAATACATAATACATTCACTTGTTGTAGTACAAAAAATGAGGGGGATCATAAATTAATTGTACACCCTGTACTATATAGATATGTCATTGACAAAGTTATTTTAAATCCCCGAGAAACATAGCTGTATTTACTCTGATTTTCTCATCCTCTTGAAAAGCATAGAAGTGATATCAAGCAGGCATGGTTTGGAAACTGTTGTAAACTTGGGCTTCTTTTAACCTAAATGCAAAAGCAATCAAATTTAAATTTTAGTCTCTCCGTTGTTAAGAAAAAAAGTATAAAGAGTGCTTATATCTCTAGATATAGAACTACTTAGGTCCGAAACTTTGAACAAACATTCTTTAATAACCATGATATATGCAATTTTCTCGTTCGAAACAAAACTTCTTTTCTTTCCAAATTTTAATTTACCTAGTGGACACAGACGTAAAAAAGACGTCTTTTAATCATCTAATACACGTTTTGGACGTCTTTTGAACGTCTTTTGAACGTTTTGGACAACTTTTGAACGTTCAAAAGACGTCTTTTTTTGGTCCGGTGCCCACTGGGTATTAACCTGAATTCAAGTCATCTTGCAAAAGTTTTACATCCATTTATGTAAAACATCCAATAAAATACCCAAAAAAATCAACATTACAAAAACCGCTTAATACATAACTACAATTAAAGTAAAATAGTAATAAAACTATAATAGTAGTGAAATTTATAAAATAAAATTATAGTTTTTTTTTAATACAATAATTTTAAATGTTTGCAATAAAAAAGCAAATTCGAATCGCAAATGTCTTAAACATGAGCCCTACGTATTGTGAAAGCATCGTAAACCTGCGTATCGTGATTAGTGTCTAGTGAGTTTAAAAACTATTAAACATTATGTTAAACATAACTATAAGCAAAACATTGCATTAAGAAAATTCTTGCGCAACAAAAAAAGTGGTAAAAAAAAAATTCAAATGTTAGTGATATTAAATTTTCTTATAGAAATATTAAGTTATATTGTTTCTTACTTTTTTTAAATTTATATGGCGGCAGGAGTAAAAGAAAAGTGTTTAATTCAAGAGATTTGTTAACAAAATTATTTTCTAGAATGTTTGACTACTTATTGGGGTAAAATGCTCTAATCATCATTTCATATTCTTCATAAAAATGGGAGATAACAGGTTTAAAGAAATACCTCCAGAATGAGTGAAAGAGAATTAGTAAGAACGTTATTAATTTCTTAAAATTGTATTACAAATACACTGTAAAATTAACAAGTGGTATCAAATGGATTTCAGGATATGGTTGAGTAAAATTTATTTAATGATAATTACTCTAGATACTTCAGGTAAAGGTAAATAAAGCACTCAAAGTTAAAAATGTTTTAAGTTGGCAACTACAATAACAAAAGCATCTACGGGTATTGTGAATAAGATTTTCAACAAAAATTGTTAAATACAGCAGAGAAACATTTTAGGAAATCTTTTGTTATTGTGCACGTTTTTAAATATGTGTTTTCGATTCTTTTTTTGTTGTTGTTGCTTTTTTTGTTTATTTTTAATCTATTTTAGTATGTTCGACAAATTTATTTCGTGGACAGTATAAAAATAAATTTTTAAAATTAGATTAAAAAAAAAATTTTTAATCTAATTTTAATTTATTGATTTAACCGCAGAGCACCGCGGAGGATCATTTAACCAAAAGGTTCACGCCTACTTTCTTACCAATGTCGCTAATTGGGTTAGAGACGGCGTTAAACCTTGCACCTCTATTCTCTTTTCTCTATGCTATCTTTCTAACACAAATACTTATGACTTTACTCTTATTTTACTCTTGTTTACTTCAGCTCTTCCTCAAACTCACATACTCTTGGTCCATCGAAGCGGGTTATGACGCTCCAATGATATATTATAACTAGATGTCTAACTTCGATTCAAAAAGTGAAGCCGCTTATTGCCCTTTTTACAAATGGCGGATTAAACTTGTTAACAAATATTTTTAACTTTTCTTATCTTAGATGAAGTAATTATATTTTAAATTTAAATACTGTTTATGTAAAAGTGTTAAGCGGAAATTGATTATAATTTATGATTCCTTAATTTATTTTCGATTAAAAAAGGATTAAAGTTTTGAATAGAAAAGTAAAATGACAGACGCTTTTAAAGCATTTTTATGAATTAAAAACTTTTTAATAAACATAGGCTCATATAAAAACTTTTATAAGTATTTTATAATTATTAAAACTTGTTTTTAAATTATTTTTAATTTATTGGAAACTTTTGGCTGACAATTTAAACTTTTATTCCACATTTCGGCCTCAGCTTTTGCCCTTTTTACAAATGGCGGGTTATTGTTTTAAACAAAAAAAAATCGGCTTCATTTTTTGTCAAATAAAAACCCGCTAGTTAGATATCTAGTTTATATAATAAATCTTGTGATGCTCTCTAGTCAGCTGAACTTATCTTGCGGACCTTTTCTGTTACCTCTATTTGGTAATTAGTCGGAGGAGGATAAACAACAATACGTCATCACTACAAATTATAGAAAAAAAAATACATCTTATCTTCTCATAGCACTTGTGTTAGTTAAGGTTCTAGTCTTTCCGCTTTTTTATGCTTACTTCCAAGTGGGAAAAATGACGTCGAAAAGACGTCTTTAAAAATCTTATTTACGATGTCTTTAAGACATCTTTTTTTAATCGATTATGCAAATCTAAAAGACATCTTTTTACGACATCGAAAAGACGTCTTTTTTTATCTTAATATTGTCATAAAAAGACATAAAAAATGCGTCCTTAAGACGCCTTTTTTAGTCGAATCTGAAATGCAAATCTGAAAGACATCTTTTTTCGACATCAAAAATGCGTCTTTTTTGTCTTTATCTTGTCATGAAAAGACATAAATGCGTCTTTAAGACGTCTTTGTTTATCAATTATGCACTTCTAAAAAAGTGTTTTTTCTCGGGGTCTGAACAACTTTTTGCCATAATTATTATTATACTATAGTACCCTATACACTATAGTATTAATACTTTTCTAATATGAAAAGCTATTTTTTTCAAATGAAAATAATAATAGCTCTTCATACAAAGTATGACAAAAAGCTATTTCCGATGCCGAGAAAAAAACCTCTTTTAGATGTCAATTTAAAAGAGGAAGCAT